GACTGGAAGGGACTTCAAAAGGTCATCTAGTTCTGTCCCCTGCACTCAAGGCAGGACTCTGTAATAACTAGACCATTCCTGACAGATGTTTGTCTACCTGTTCTTAAAAACCTCCAATGACAGAGATTCCACAACTCCGTAGGCAATTCATTCAAGTGCTTAACTACCCTTTCAGTGACAAAGTTTTTCCCAATGTCCAACTTAAATCTCTCTTGCCACAATTTAAGCCCATTGCTTCTTGTCCTATATATAGAGTATAGAGAATTTCATCCTCTATACTTAGAGCTTAACAAAAACAAAATTTCATCCTCTTCCTTCTAACAACCTTTGATGTACTTGAAAACTATCATGTTCCCCCTTAGTCTTCTCTTCTCCAGATTAAAGAAACTCAATGTTTTCAATCTTTCCTCATAGGTCATGTTTTCTAGACCTTTAATAATTTTTGTTGCCCTCCTCTGGATTTTCTCCTATTTGTCCACATCTTTCCTGAAATGTTATGCCCAGAACTGGACACATGTCTCCAGATAAGGCCTTATCAGCATGAAGTAGAACAAGAAGAATTACTTCTCACGTCTTGCCTACAACACTCTTGCTAATATAGTCCAAAATGATGTTAACTTTTTTTGAAACAGTGTTACGCTGTTGTGTCACATTTAGCCTGTGATCCACTATAATCCTCAGATCCCTTTCTGCAGTACTCCTTTCTAGGCAGTCATTTCCCATTTTGTATATGTACAGTTGGTTGTTCCATCCTGAGTGGACTTCTTTGCATTTGTCCTTATTGAATTTCATCCTCTATACTTCAGACCATTTCTCCAGTTTGTCCAGATCATTTTGAATATTAATCGTATCCTCCAGCGCACTTGCAACCCCTCTCAGCTTTGTATAATTTGCAAACTTTGTAAGTATATTCCCTGTGCCATTATCTAAATCATTGATGAAGATATTGAACAGAACCGGATCCAGGAATGATCCCTGCAGGACCCCACTTAATATGCCCTTCCAGATTGACTATGAACCACTGATAACTACTCTCTGGGACTGATTTTCCATCCAATTATGCACCCATCTTATAGTAGCTCCATCTAGGTTATATTTCCCTAGTTTGTTTATGAGAAGGTCATGCAAGACTGTATCAAAAGCCTTACTGAAGTCAAGGTATACCACATCTAGCATCTCCCTCCTATTCACAAGGCTTGTTACCCTGTCAAAGAAAGCTATTAGGTAGGTTTGACACAATTTTTTCTTGACAAATCCATGCTGACTGTTACTTACCACTTTTATCTTCTAGGTGTTTGCAAATTGATTGCTTGATTATTTTCTCCATTATCTTTACAGGTACTGAAGTTAAGATGACTGGTCGGTAATTCCCCAGGTTGTCCTTATTGCCTTTTTTATAGATTGGCAGCATATTTGTCCTTTTCCAGTCCTCTGGAATCTCTCCCATCTTCCATGAGTTTTTGAAGATAATCACTAATGGCTCAGATATCTCCTAAGTCAGCTCCTTGAGTAGTCTAGGATGTATTTCATCAGGCCTTGGTGACTTGAAGACATAGTTCAAAAGGACTACCTATGTGATAAAGAATACTCGTATGAATTCTGCTGAGCTAAGTACTGAGTAGCTCCATCCTTAATAAAGTCATTAGCAAGTCTACTTTTCATTTAGTTTATATACTCCTTTCATGGTTTACAGTAAAGGAACAATCTGAGTGGCTGATGAAGATTGTGAATTATATAGCTGATACATACAGGATGTAAGATTATAATATAATGTTTACTTGGTTTTGATTAATTAATTAGCCAGTCAAATTCACAGGGTCTTAGTTATTTTGGTGTTCTGGCTAATTAACTGTGTTGCAGCCCAATAATCATTTCCTGAAGACATGATGACAGTGTCTTATAATAAATATATGTCTTGGGTGATGGAAGCAATCAACTTCACAATGCATCTGAGATGTGTGTATAGTATATCATATAATAACCTCACACCCTCTCATGTATTATTTATTTGCATTAAAATATTGCTGTTTATTCACTATGCGTACTCTGTTTGGAATGTTTTGCTCTGATGTATAATATCAATTGTTTCTTTCCTTGGTTTGTACCTGTGCCTTCTCCAATAAAACAGAGTGTAGCAAAATAAAAATGCATCGTATAAGGTCTCAAAAAATCTTCTTATGTCAACAGAAAGGTAACTCTACAAGCCACTCCCACACCACAGTGAAATGTTGGTGGGACCTTAGGAGCTCATCTGAACAACCTTCAGTTAGAGCTAGAGGCAAAGAGGGAGAGAATACTATGAACAATTGTTACTACCACAGGTTATATATGTACTTTGGAAAAAAAAGTAGCACTGTCATCACTTTTTGTGTGTGTGTCTTAAAAATTACTGTGTGATTGCAGACAGACACTTCGGTGTGGAAGAACAGAAAGACTGAGAAACTGCTTGCCAAAAATGAGGCTTGAAAATGACAAAATTGTATGATTTTTAATGATGGCCTGAAAGTTAAATCAAGATATATTAACAGTAGTCAAAGAAAGAGATGAGAGTTTTTTCTGTATTTCTATGGGAAAGCTTCTAGGATTGAGAAATGCTAGAAGAAACCTCTGACACTTTTCCAACAAAAAATGATACTGTTCTTTGATCAGAGGCTGAAAAACAACATTAACCAAATCTCTTCTTTTCATTCAGAGGGATGTTTTCCATCTTTTGTCTTTGGGGATTTAATAATATAATCCATATTGTTTTTATTTATTTTTTTAGTTTTCGTTTTTTACTTAATGCAGACATTTTTTATGGATTAAAGAAAAACCTCTTAAGCATGATCTTTTTTTGCTTCTAAAAGTTTTTGTGGCAACACTGAATTCTTTTAATACTTCACTTAGCAGTCAGTTGAGATTTCATATGAGAATTGTTGCATGATAAATAAATCTGTGATCATTGAAGGCTAGTTCTATTATGCATATCCAGTGGTTAAGGCCCAGTAAAAAGTAGAGATTGGAACTGGCTATTCTTGGGAGCAGGAAGGACCAAAGGACTGGTAGTGTGATCTAGGGCTTTTTACCTCCAGGTCACCAGCTCCTATCTGACTCAGGTTGGTAGTGACTAAAAGTCGTTATCATCTAATGGTTGTTCAGTGGCCTATGTAAAATGAGTTTCTGGTCTTAGTCCCAGTTGCTAGTGGACAGTTGTTCACGTAGCAAAAATGACCATAATGGGCACCTTTATTGATACTCTGCAGCGGTGCTAATGACTGAATTGTCATGGAAATTAAAATATGTTGAAAAGTTCATACTTTATAAGTAGGGAAATTTCCATTTTAAAGTAAATAAAAAGAAATGAATATAAACTACATCTTAAATAAACATAAGTTTATGTATTCTTTCGGGGACATCTGAATTGTGCTGTCATCACGGATCCTTTGATATCAGACTAAAATTCAAATGTATTCTCACCGCTGATGGACCTTCATAAAACTCCTTGTGAAGTTGGCTGCCCGTGAGAAAGAAATATGGAGGGGGGGTAACCCTATAAAGCGTGCTCTGGACATCATTAATGAGAGTCGGCACTTAACACCTTCCGGGATCAAGACCTTAGCGCTCACATACAGTTCCAGAGAGGATAATTCAGGACTTTCTTATGTTTTTCTGCAAGCAGATCAAGTTTGAAAAGTGCCAAAAGGATAACAAACTTCTTTCCACCCTTGTCATGATATAACAGTTTGTTTCCTCTGTCTGGGTTGAGGAGGTTGTCCAGAAACGTTCAGGAGAATCTCCTACAGACAGTTCTAAGGAGGCTCTTTTTATTTGTTCTGTAAAGTTAGGGTTGGTTTCAGTAAAATCTCTCCTGTTTTCTGAAGGTCAGGCACATCTACTTCCTTGTTTGCTGACCTGGGGTGTGTGGATGTGTACTGAGTGGAAATGTGAATCAGTTAAGGTCATTGGTCTTGAATGGGCCACCTCGCAACCTAGATGCTGCACAGCCTGCTGATGTGAGTTCAGTTCACAAGCTTGTCTTGAGGTCCCATGACTGCCTGAGGCTTAAGAATGTCGAAAAGGATGGGACTTAAAAATGTGGAAAAAGCACAGCAGACTCAGGGATTGCAGGGGAAAGAGGACCTCAAACAATATCACTTTCCAGCAGCCCTCTCTGATCAATGCATCTGGGGTTGTTGATGGACTGCATTCAGCTGTAAACTTCCAAGGGGAGGATCATAATGAGAAGGGAGCCTTTCAAGATGGTGGGGATGTGATGTTCATAGGTCCAGTCCATAGCTCAATTCTATATTATGCAAATAGCCAGGACTCCAGCTACTAAAAAGTATTCAAGACTCCCTAAAAGACTTGTGTGTCAGCAGTCTCCAGAATGGTTTTATTTTTGTATATTAAGCCCAAGAAAGTGCATTTACTTTAAATTTGTTAAGCTCTTTGCTGGCTTCCCTACTCTTACCCCTGTGACTGATTATGAAATAGCTAACAAATAAATACAATTTAAAAAAGAGTAAAAACTAAACAAAATCTGAAACACAAATATAAATGATTGTTATCTTGGAAAAAAAATCATCTCCAAACACAGCATTCCTTTCCCTCTTGTTTTCTGTTCTTTCCTCCTTCCCTTGACTCATACTACTAAGACATCCATCATCATGCCCCTTAATTTTTTTTAAAAGGTTCCTAAACTTATGGTCCTACATGCATCTGTAGGCATCTAAATAACTTGCCTGATTTTCAGTGGTGCTGAGCACCTGCAGTTTCCAGCACTGTTTATAGCTCAATAATTCAAAATGGCACAGTGTAATAAGGTATTCTTAGCTGTAGTAGATGAGGTTGAGTGCTTTTCCACACAGGAGCTTAGGATAACCTGTATCGGAGGAAGCAGTCTCTTCTGGCAAGCAGAAACTTTCTTTCCTAGGAAGTATATAAGCAAGATTATTGTAGAATTCTGCTCATGTATGCTTACTGTTGATCTGACTGAAATTCATATATTTATGTCTCCACAGCTAAGCCCATTGTTTAAGGACACTGTCCTGAAGAGAACATTTAATGCTACCTTACAGAATCCTGTTGCAACTCAGATGGACAACACTGTTTGCAAATATGAGGCAGTGCACCCAGGCACACTTTGTGTGTCTATTTAAGAATTCTTCAGTGGTGAATATACTTACCTATATTACTAAAAGATTTAAGAGTTCATATTAGGTTGTTACATTTTCTAGTGTATTCTCAAAATTACAAAACATATTAATTTTAACTTTATTTAATATGGGAAATGACTGTCTCTTTAGTCCAAATAGTAAAGGAAATTGGCAATATATTTGCAAATTTTCCTCTCCATATTAATATTTGCACTCAAGAGGGTTGATAGATAGCAATTTTTGAATAAATGTTACAGTGGAACGCTGTACTCATAGTTAAATCAAATTATAATTGTGCCAGGCATGGAAAGGAACGTTTATTAGCTTTCTACTTCCCAAATAAATATTTCCCTTACTTCTTTAGAGAAAACCGTGGAAACTACACATAAATGAAATGTAGGTGGCAGGCTTTTCCACAGTTCATGTCCTTTATCAGCTGAAGCAATGAACTCCTAATACTAACACTGGATTGTACTCTGTTAATGTGATCACTTTGCAATAAAGGATTGTGGCTTTATTGAAAAGTCAGACAGAAATAATTGAGCTCTGACGGGCAAAAGTTGCTAAATTAAAGGTCAACTTCAGTATAAAACAATGTTAAAATTCAGAAATCTGACTTAAAGATATCTGCAAACGTATAGTGATCACCACTGAAAAGTAAGCATTTACCCACGCTACCACATGACAGTACCTGAGACAAAGCAGCATTTTTTTTATATTTAAAATAGACTTTTATTTTATCTTCCAATATGTTAATGGACTATGACTTTGTCTCTCACTCTATTGTTAACAAGTTATCCAATATTTTGTTAGCTCACTAAAAAGCACAACTTCTAAGGCAGAGGTTCTCAAACTGTGGTCCATGGACCACCAGTACTCCGCGAGCTCCATTCAGGTGATCCACGGATAGTTCCCTCTAAGGTGCGCGCCTGAGTGGCTGCACACAAGAGAATGAAGGGCCACCAACCTAACTAGTGGAGCTGTGCAGGCGTGGCTCCACTAATTAGATGCCTGGACCCTGGAGAAGATGCACATGTAAGGTGAGGTGGTGGCCTTGGAGTGCAGGGGAGAGGGGAAATAGGAGGTAGGTGGGAGGGGGAAGTGGGGTGAGACGAGGGGGTGGGGAGAATTTGGGGTGTGCAGGGCTGCGGTGGCCAGAGAAAGAGGCGACTTTCCCCAGCTCCAGGGCTGAGGGTGCCAGGGAGAGAAGGACCTCCTTCCCAGCCTCAGCTCTGTGGTTGCTGTGGCGGGGGAGAGACCCCCCTCCTTCCCAGCCCCAGCTTGGGGGCTGCCATGGTTGGGGAGAAAGGGCACATCCATCGCATTAGAAAGGTAAGACTACTGATATTAAATTATGAGTTGTGTGCTTTTATTTGTAGAACAAAAAAAGTTTATTGTTTTTGTTATATAGCGCTTTTATCCACTGCGCTTTACAAGTTAGCTAATGATACAAACACCATTTGGAAAGATCCTTAAGTGGTCCGCCGAGATCCTCAGCAATTTTCAAGTGGTCTGTGAAAAAAAGAAGTTTGAGATCCACTGTTCTAAGGGTACATCAGGCCTCTACCCTACTAGACTCCCATGGGAAAGAAAGATTATATAGGTCTGCATTCTTTCAGAGGTACTTTTAAACAATGGAGTTTGGAGATATTACAGAGAAGATGTCATGTAAGCATCTTCCCTTCATCTAAATAGGGTTTCAAAATATTTCCTTTGGGTACTTAGTTACAGCAAATGTTAGAACTGAGATTTTCCTTCCTTTTGTCAGAACTATGCTGAACTGTCTCTCATCTTCTCCTTAATAGAGACATCTGTGCAAAATATCTCCATCCAATGTCAGACTGATTCAAACTGAGACAGGAATTCAAGTTTTGTTTCTGTGACTAGCTCACAAACGTTCAGTGAACATGGGGTGAAGTTAGCACAGCTGGCATGCTGGTGCACCTCCCTTCCCCCAAACTGATGTTTCTTGTTTTCTCTCGCTAACAAATCCCAGGGTCCCCTCACCCTCTGAAGATACCTAAGGAAAGAAAGTGAGGTCCTGGGGCTTGTTAGGAGAGACATCAGTGGTAGGAGAGGAAGGGGGCTACCCATGGGGTTGACACCTTGACAGTTCAAGTTAATCAGAACCAAACATCCAAGCAAACCTGAAGCACTTCCAACCTTTCAAACCAAACCATAGGATTTGGTTCATCATCCCCTCTGTGAACTAAACCTCCATGGTTCATTGAGCCCTAGTCTTCCTACACTGCATTATCGCATGCGTGCCTACAAGATAGAACATGATGCAACAGTCATATTGTGTGGCAGCCTACGTTTTAAAGGGCAGCCTATGCACTCCACTATTTTTGGACTGGATAGTCAACCATGACTAGACATTGCAAATGAAGAAGACATATATCCACACAGCATACCCCAAACAGCCCATGCTATGATTCATCAGTTGCCTAGCATAGTGTGATGCGTCTCTTAAAGCAACTTGACCCAATAGAATTTTATGTTTCTAATAAGCTGGAGAATGTTTGAAAGGATTCCTTTAGTTAAGGTTTAGGAGAGTCAGACTTAGTGAACCAGATTTTTCTTCTTTTCTGTTTCACACAGGCATAATCCAGCATTAGTGCCTATTAATGACTGAATCAAGCTGAAAGTTCTCTTCCAAAGGCGTGCCTACATTTTAATGATGTCCTCCATCAGCTGCTCAAAGGAACATGATTGCGCTTATAACCTCCAGAGATAGTAAAGCTGTTCTTGCAAGAGATCTTATTTAATTTCCCCCTCCTCTGTACTTTTTTCCTATTACCAGACATCTGTTCCAGTTCTTTAACTCATGAAGCGCTGACTGTCCTCTTTTTAAAGTACAACTGCAAATAAAAATATGAGATGAAATATTTGTTTCCTTTTGTCTTTTTTCTCTCCATTCTCCTCTTTGCCAGATACCAGAGAAGGCACCAAAGTACAAAACGCTAGGCCATGTGAAACAAAAATAAAGGTTATGATTGAGTTTTTGTTGCCTGTCCTCATCAGGATGAATTAACTGACAGCCTGATTGAGCCAACATGGCAGAAACCCCCACCACAAACATAGAAAGGGGGAAGGATAAATTAATGAGGCTCCCTTCAAGGCTGTTTTTTCTCAGAATATTTAAGTGGGTGAAAGATTTGCCCCCTCCTTCCAACATAAGAAGTGAAGAGACTGGTCCCTGAACCTCACTGATCCCTCAAGGTATGCACAGATCTCAGAGAATCCACATGAGACCCTGTACCTTTGCTGCTTCTCAGCTCCCACCTGTTCTCCTCTGGATTGACCTGTACTGACAAGGTTTCTCCTCTCAGCAGCTGCCTCTGGACACATAGGGGACTGTTCAGTCTCAGAGTGCTTTACTTCTGGATGTCCCGTGTGGTTGAGAAGGGGAAAGATGTGTATTCTGCCCTGCCCTCTGTCCACATTCAGGTCCCTGAACCTGCAGAGGGATCTCTGTTGGTGTAGGAACAGAGTGGATCGTGGTGTGGAAGAAGATGATTCCTACTCATGCCACTACATGGCCCGGGACATATCTACACACGGAGCTCTTCTCTATGCATGGATCAAGGGGGTATGACCAGACCTTTTGTTCATTTCTTAGTTATTCCTTGTTATCAGTTGCCGAGGACTGACTGCTTATTGCTCCTGAAAAAATGTATTCTGGTTTATGAAAGAGTTTATAAATCTTGCAGATTATGACATAGCAGACCTTTACATCATGTTGTTCTAAGTAGCATCATGTATTTTTCCCCACTTCAGTTCTGACATAGTCGTAGTAGCCTGTGTCTTACTAAACTTATTAGTGCTTTGTACAATTTAAAAGTGAGGAGCCAAGCTTTAGATGGTATTAAAGCATAGTGTTTGCATTCTGGCAGTTCTCAAGATAGTGGCTGCTAAAATCATGTTGGAATTCAAATAAGAACAAAAAGTATTATGCTAATCAGAATCACATAGTTTCAAGATATGATATCTCACAAAGTTCCAGAGATGGAAAATCTTGCAATGATGTCATTGGCACAGCCTACGAAAGCTACCAAACATTTGTTTCTAATTCTGTCAGTTTGCAAGATATTAGACCTTTAAGCTGCTATTGGTCCTTGGGTCTAACAATGTTTTATTGGCACCTTTGCAAGTCTTAATGTTGCAAGTCCCAAACCTCAGATGTGAGGAATTTTTAGTTCCTGATTCAGAGAATGCTAAAAACTACCATCTCAAACAACTATTATTGTTATTTATATTGCAGTAGCAAGGAAGCAGGGGATATTAAATATTTAGTGAGAAAAAAGACAGTAACTCACACCCTGTGCAGTATTTTTTTTTCCATATATAGCATCTGGAGAAAGCACTTGAGAATATACTTCATGGAATACACTGAGGGGATGACCTAGATAATGTAACTTAATAGGCCTTTTCCATCTCTGTTGTCTGTGATACCCCTCCTTAGGGGTTTTGAAAGCATATGGATAAACAATTAGAAGTAAAAATTAAAAAGACTAACCATGAAAAAACCCAAAGTCTCTTGAAATTAAACACAACCATAAACTGGTTGGTAATTGCTTAAACCTGATATTTAAATGGTCTCTCAGTAGCTACTGACATGGACACCATAACAGTGGGATAGAACCAGGAAAGAAATGAAAACCCCGATCATTAAAGGGATCTTGAAAATGGAAAACATGTTCACCCCTTAATTCTAACTAGTACTGTAGAGTGCAGTCTTAAAACTGATTTTATGTGGATGCTATATGGATGCATACTGCTGGTCTTAGCAACACACTGGAAGCTAACAACCAATTAAAAAGCATTCTGCAATATATCATTGCTATATTCAGCAATAAAGTGCCTTAAATTCACTGTAACCATTGAGAACTCCTTTTTATCACAACTTAATCAAGACAGTGCCTAGCTACTAGATCACATCCTATTATAGAGTCATTCTCAGGAATATTAGCAGTGCAAAATTCACAGAGCAGCATGATTCATGACCTCCTTCATTCAACCAGCCCTTTCGAAATGGAAACAAAAATCTGCAGGAAACATATCTTCAAAGTTGTACTTTAAAAATGAAGCATTAAAGAAATAAAAAGGTTTTTTCTCTGGCTCTAAAGCAAACATGAAAAGCTTTATAAAGATGATCTCTGTGTATATGAGATAATTGACCAAAATCCAGTAATGCACACCTTTCTACCTCCTTCTTTTAGCCACAGATATTATGGCCACAATGTTTGACTGTGACTAATAATTTGGGGGTGACTCACTTTTTGCGTGTCCAACTTGAGACGCCCTGGGCTTAATGTTCAAAAGTGCTGAGCACACACAACTCCAGTTGTAATGATATCCATTATACCAAACACATTATTCAAGGGATTTCTTCCATAAAAAAGTTTCTTAGGACTGCAACTGCCATTAACACGAATGGTGGAGTCTAGCTTCCTGATCATTGGAGTGGGAAGTATTGTTGTCAAAAAATCCATAATAAGTGGGATTGTGACATCGCTAAGTGGGACTACAGGGAATGGTGCCAACATCCCATTTATTTTAATAAGAGTTGGTCTCATCACATAAAATATTGGGGGAAATTAACTACTGTGCATAATTAGCAGCTAATTTTAAAACTTAAATATCTCAATTATTTCCACTTGTCTTTTTAAATACCCCAAATGCATCTAGAATGGTAACACCCAGCTTGCACTACTGATGTATTTCACCATGAGCTTGAGCTGTGGCCAATAATGCTCCTCTTGACTGTGGTACAGTCACCTCTCTTGAGAGCTCAAAATGCAGCAATGCATAAAGAGACACATTTCCAAAGGATATCTTGAAAAATTAGTTTGTGCGTGTAATTACACATCGGAAGCCACATTAGTCTTTTGCAGCCCGAGGGTTGCTGGGGACTGTGTAAATGTGTGTGTGTGTCTGTGTTTCTGTTAGGAGGGGAGCAGAAATAGAGTACACGGGTGTGATGCCTGGAGGCATTCCACGTGTGCATGGCAAATGCAGCCAAATTGTCTCCATGCTTGCCAGTGTACTATTTTTCACTCTGATGTAGGATTTTCAAATAATTTAAGCATATATTTCCCCTTATGCATTCTCTTGGATTTTGAGTTATGTTGGCCTTATTGTTACTGTTGTTTTCATATGTTAATGCTCCATTTCTTTAATGGGTTTTGTTCTTGGTTGATTGGGTTTATTTAATTTATAAGATATATAGGTCTAAATATTGTTATGGATTTTCAATGGGCCTGACTTTTAAATGTTGCCTTCATTTTTGTGGGTGTAAATGCAAACATTTGGGTATCGGACTATTCCATTCTGCCTGCAATTCAGTTTAGAGATCTGAACGTTAGCGTTTGTGCTTTCAGTCGATTGAGTATTCTCACAAACAGAAGAAGGTTTAAAAATCAGGCCCAAATGCGTCAAGAAATGCTACTGAGATGTTTAATACTGTAAAAAATTGTTTGAAAAAGCTGCTGTTAGGTTGTTCGCCTTCAAATTCACTTTTAAATATGGTTTATTTTTGTCTGATCCTTGGAACTTCGTTGCCACAACTGAAATAGACAGTCACTTGTGACTTTTGTAAATGAGCCAGGGAATGTGCATGTGGGTTTCTAAAATTATTTATCAAAACATTTTTGGCAAATCTGGGGATCCTGAAAATGCCAGGTTGCTAGACCTCAAGAAACCCTCACTGGGGGTGAGGAGGTGATTAGCTCAGGCTCCCGGACCTTTCAGCCCTTGGGTTCTGTCCTGAGGCTGCCAAAGGCAGAGTCAATTGTATTGGGGGATCTTGTGCTATGAATTCTTGTCAACTGGATAGACATCACCAAATCATTTCACCAAGGCCACTGAACAGCAATCAAATAGCAATATGCTCTGCTGTTGTAGCTGTGTTGATCCCAGGATATTAGAGAGACAAAGTGGGTGAGGTAATATCTTTTATTGGACCAACTTCTGCTGATAAGAGAGACAAGCTTTAGAGATCAGAGCTGCTTCATTTTCTAATATCCTGGGACCAACATGGCTACAACTACTCTGCATGCATTTTAATCCATTTATTATGTGGCATGTTATTTACTGTTTTTTAATTATTGGCACAACATTAGCTTTCTTCCTGTCTTCTGGAACTTCCCACTGTTCTAAGACTTAATGAAAATCAACATTAATGGTCCAGTGAGCTCCTCAGCCAGCTCTTTTAAAACTCTTGGTTGCAAGTTATTCACACCTGCTGATTTTAAAATGTCTACCTTTAGTAGCTTCTCATCCACCTGAGATCCTAGTAGAATGGAAAAAGTGTTATCATATGATATGAATACATCATCTGTTTTTTCCCAAATACATAATAGAAATACTTATTGACCCGAAATATATATTGACCATGCCTTTTCTACATTATTATTGATAATTCTACCATGTGAATCTAGTCATGGATCAGTGCCATTGTTCGGCTTCTTTTTGTTCCTAATATACTTAAAATAACTTCTTAATACTGCTGGCCATAGGTTTATCTTTGTGTCCCTTTGCTTTCCTTATCAATTTTCTACAATTCCTAGCTTCTGATTTATATTCATTACTATCAACTCCTCCTTTCTTGAAATTATTTATTTTTTTATAGCTGTCTTCAATTCCTCTCTAAACCAGGTGCATTTTTAAACCAATACAGTCTTTTCCCTTGATTGTGGCTTTTAGGGCATCTAATAAAGTGTTCTTAAACATTTCCTGGTTATCATTCTCATTTTTCTGATTAAACTCTTTCTCCCAGCTGATATGGCTCATAATTGTTTTCAGCTTTGTAAAGTTGGTCCTTTTAAAGCACCAAGTATATATTCTGGAATGTATTCCGTTTGCATATTATAAATTTGAACAAG